AGAGGAGAACAGAGGGGACGAGAGAGCAGAGGAGAGGAGAGGGGTGGAGAGGAGAGAAGGGTAGAGGAAAGCATAGGAGCGGAGAGGAGAGCAGGGGAGTGGAGAGAACAGGAGATAAGAGGAGAGGAGAGGAGAGGAGTGGAGTGGAGTGGAGAGCAGAGGACAGGAGACGAGAGGAGAGGAGAGGAGAGGAGTGGAGAGGAGAGGAGAGAAGAGGAGAGCAGAGGAGAGGAGAGAAAAACAGAGGAGAGCAGAGAAGAACAGAGGAGAGGTGAGGAGAGGAGAGGAGAGGAGAGGAGAACAGAGGAGAACAGAGGAGAGGAGAGGGGAGGAGAGGACTGGAGAGGAGAGGACAGCAGTGGAGAGCAGAGGAGAACAGAGAATAGAGGAGAGGAGAGGAGAGCAGTGGAGAGCAGAGGCGAGGAGACGACAGCAAAGTAGAGGGGAGGAGAGGAAAGGAGACGAGTGGAGTGGAATGGAGATACGAGGACAAGGGAGAAGATGAGAGCAGAGCAGAGGAGAGGAGAACAGAGGAGAGCAGATGAGAACAGGGGAGATCAGAGGAGAGGAGAGGAGAGGAGAGGAGAGGAGAAGAGTGGAGAGGAGAGGAGAGGAGAGGAGAGGAGAAGAGAGGAGAGGAGAGGAGAGGAGAGGAGAGGAGAAGAGAGGAGAGCAGAGGAAAACAGCGGAGAGCAGAGGAGAACAGAGGAGAGGAGAGGAGAGGAGAGGAGAGGATAGGAGAAGAAAAGACAGCAAAGGAGAGGAGAGGAGAGGAGTGGTGAGGAGAAACGAAAAGAGGAGAGAAGAGGAGAGCAGTGGAGAACGGAGGAGAGGTGAACACAGGAGAGCCGAGAAGAATAGAGGAGAGGAGAGGAGACAACAGCAAAGGAGAGGAGATGAGAGGTGAGAGACGAGAGGAGAACAGAGGAGAGCAGAGGAGAGGAGAGGAGAGGAGAGGAGAACCGAGGAGAGCAGATGGGAACAGGGGAGATCAGAGGAGAGGAGAGGAGAGGAGAGGTGAGGAGAGGAGAAGAGTGGAGAGGAGAGGAGAGGAGAGGAGAAGAGAGGAGGGGAGAGGAGAGGAGAGGAGAGGAGAAGAGAGGAGATCAGAGGAAAACAGAGGAGAGCAGAGGAGAACAGAGGAGAGGAGAGGAGAGGAGAGGAGAGGTGATGAGAGGATAGGATAGGAGAAGAAAAGACAGCAAAGGAGAGGAGAGGAGAGGAGAGGAGTGGTGAGGAGAAACGAAAAGAGGAGAGAAGAGGAGAGCAGTGGAGAACGGAGGAGAGGTGAACACAGGAGAGCAGAGGAGAATAGAGGAGAGGAGAGGAGACAACAGCAAAGGAGAGGAGATGAGAGGTGAGATAGGAGAGGAGAACAGAGGAGAACAGAGGAGAGCAGAGGAGAGCAGAGGAGAGGAGAGGAGAGGAGAGGAGAGGAGAACCGAGGAGAGCAGAGGAGAACAGAGGAGAGGAGTGCAGACGGGAGGAGATGAGAGGAGAGCGGAGGGGACCCTAAACCCAGAGCCGTGGAGAGGAGGAGAGAGGAGAGGAGAGGAGAGGAGAAGAGAGGAGAGGAGACAAGAGGAGAGGAGAGGAGAGAGGGGAGGAGGAGCAGTGGAGAAGAAGGAGGGGGGCATGGGAGAAGGGAAAGTGGAGGACAGGGGAAACGGCATTGGTTTGAGAATATGTGCGAAGCGTGGGGTATACCTGATGCACTTTGGCATGGGGGAGTGCACCAAATTTCGCTTAGTGTGGGGCTTGCCCGATGCCTTGCCATGCGCAGAGCGAGAGGGAGGAATCCTTTGTCCAGGGTGGCCGGTCCCCTGCTTTGTCCCCCATGCTTCTACGTACCCTGAAAGATCCCTGTCTCTCACTCCCCTGCACTCTGTCAGCGGCCCTTACCGCTGTTCCATCCACCTGTCCGCCCTTTCTGTGCACCACTAATGCTATCCCCTACGCTTTCCCCCTCTTTCATCAAGGCTCTCTAACCCCATTTCCCCTCCTCACCATCATCTCCCTTTCGCTATCCCCTGCCCTCACGCACATCCCCCTCCTCCCCCCCCCCCCCCTCCTCACTCGCTCCCTCGCCCCTCTCCTCTTCCCCTTGGGCCGTGGTCCTTCCTCTCCACTATGTCCGCCCCTCTGTTGTCCATCTCTCTCTTCACACAGGCCATCCGCTCCCTTCCCCACTTTCTCATCCTTCTGCTCCCCCTTTTGTCCCTCCTAAATCGGGGGCTCCACCACCACTGTGCCACTCATTCTCCCCCTTCCTCCTCTTGCCCCCCCATTCTCACTCACCGCCCCTCTCCCCTTCTTCCACATATCATATTCCCCTCCTACCCCCCTGCGTATTCTCTCTCCCTCCGCCTATCCGCCATCCACTTCAACGGAATAGCGCGCGGGGGAACTGCGGGCAAGGGAAGCGTGGGGGAGGGAATAGCGGGGGAGATAATTGTGGGCAAGGGAAGCGAGGGGTAGGGAATAGTGGGCGATGGTATTGTGGTCAAGGGAAGCGCGTTGTGGGACTAGCGGGCGTGAAAATTGCCGCCAAGGGATGCGCGGGGCAGGGAATAGCAGGCAAAGGAAGCTCGGGGTAGGGAATAGCGCGCGATGGGAATGCGGGCAAGGGAAGCGCAGGGTAGGGAAAAGCGGGCGATGGAATTGCGGGCAAGGGAGGTGCGGGCTAGGGAATAGCGGGCGAGGGACTCGAGGGCGGGGGGGGGTGGAGGCTCGAGGAATAGCGGGTGCTACTGGGATAGCGGGCAAGGAAGGGGCATGCTAGGCTAGTGGGGCCTGTCGCATACACGCCTCTGGCCAAGTCTCCTCTCTGCAGCAGTGGGCCGATGGCAGATCGGCCAAGGTTCCACGACATAGCGGAGCAGGCGACGGGCTATTGCGGGGCTGCGTGCCACGCTCGCGCTCAACCCGATAATGCTACAGATTGGTGGGTGTACCCGTGCTTGACAGGTGTGGTGTTTAGGCGTCAGCTGGAGACGGGGAAGATCGCGAGTATGTGGCGGCTCAGAGAGCTACGAGTTGGTTATATGTGTGCAGGCTCCTTAGAAATGCGTTCAGTTTGGTCCAGTTAGTGTTGAAGAATCCTGAGTGGGAACAGTGTTCTCCAGTGTTGTCTTTGCTGCAGCGCTCGCAAGCTTTTTCCCTTCAGCGGAACAGCCCAATCATCAACAACCTCTGTTTACAGTGTTGAGACTAGAAAGAATGGTAGCTAGGAGTAGGAGGAGCGATGGAATGGTGTGAGGTTTTAGGCTAGGAAAGTTGAGGAGAGAAAAGAGGACCAACTAGAAAGAGAGAGGGATACAAGGTGGGGATTGTACCCTCTACAATAGAGTTCGATAACCTACCAAGCCTACACAAATTTATATATATATATATATATATATAATTTGACACACCCCCTAGGCTTGGTAGTCACAAACCCACCCCACATGCAACACCTCTAAGCCTAGCACCCCCATACGCTGCAGCAGAGGTGACTGCAGTGAAGGAGGGCGCTAGGCCTTCTTGAGCTGCGGCGGGGCGGAGCCAGCTGGCGTGGCGAGCTGGGACCGACACAGCGAGCAGGGTCCGCTGGGACCGACGCGGCGAGCTGGGTCCGATGTAGCGAGCTGGGTCCGACGCGGCGAGCAGGGTCCGACACGACGAGCTGGGGAGGTGCGGCGAGCTGGAGTGCGGGCTTGCTGCCTGGTGCCTAAACCAGTACGCGGCCCACTGCCGCCCGTGCGCTGACGCGACGACGGCGGCACGGCGGCACGATGAAGCCCTGAGGCACGGCGACGTGATGGGGCCGGCGCGGAGTGATGGGACCGGCGCGGAGTAACGGGGCCGCGACGTGACGGGGCCGGCGCGGAGGGACGGGGCCAGCACGGCGTGACGGGGCCAGCTCGGCGTGACGGGGCCAGCGCTGCGTGACGGGGCCAGCGCAGAGTGACGGGGCCAGCGCGGGTTGACGGGGTCGGCGCGGCGTGACGGGGCCAGCGCGGAGGGACGGGGCCGGCGCGGAGTGACGGGGCCGGCGCGGCGTGACAGGGCCAGCGCGGTATGATGGGGCCAGCGCGGAGTGATGGGCCCAGCGCGGCATGACGTGGCCACAGCAGCTTGACGCAGCCGCCATGGCAGTGCGAGAGAGAGAGAGAGAGAGAGAGAGAGAGAGAGAGAGAGAGAGAGAGAGAGAGAGAGAGAGAGAGAGAGAGAGAGAGAGAGAGAGAGAGAGAGAGAGAGAGAGAGAGAGAGAGAGAAGCACGCGGCAGAAGCGTGAGGAGCAGGCCCACAAGGAACGAACTGCTCTGATACCATGTTGAGACTAGAAAGAATGGTAGCTAGGAGTAGGAGGAGCCATGGAATGGCGTAAGGTTTTAGGCTAGGAAATTTGAGGAGAGAAAAGAGGACCAACTAGAAAGAGAGAGGGATGTAAGGAGGGGATTGAACCCTCTACAGTAGAGTTCGATAACCTACCAAGCCTACACAAATATATGTAATAATTTGATAGGTGTTGCAGGAGACTAAGTATAGAATCTACAAACACGAACACTTGGAAAACCTCAAGTGTTAGCCTAGGATCTTTACTGGAATGGTAGACTAGTAAGGCAGCAAAAGTCTTGTGAAAGTGAACCTGAGTATATAATTATGTGGAAGTCAATGTCAAAGTTCTTCAAAGTTGAAATCTCAAGGTTAATAACAAAAGGACACTACAAGGATTTATAGCTCTAGGAAAAGTACCTATTCGCTAATGTACTTGTTCGTAACCATCACGCTATGCGCCCCTAGATGATAATGAAGAGGTGCGACTGTTCGCATGACTGAAACGACTGTCCTTTGACGAGCGCTATTTGCTGACGTCATCCTACGGACTTATCTTCTACAGTAGAATTCGACACTATCTATCGACAAATGACTTACAGAAATGCTAAGTATGAATTATACTACAACAATATATATATATATATTTATTTATTTATTTATTTATTTATTTATTTTACACAACCCCTGAGCGTCACGAGATTTGTGTGTGCTAAACCGGGTTACCCTTTTTTCCACGAAAACAAGTCCAGGAATCCTGAACTTGAAGGCAAACCATTCTGAACTCGGGGTTTAAGGCAATCAGCCTAGTCATGTTCTCTGCACACATCAGGGGAGATGACTGACACGACCTTTGGCAGGGTTAGTATGTCGAGAACTCGGAAGGATTCTGGGTGAAATTCTGGGTACTTCTGGACCCCATCTCGGGACCCTCCGAAACTCCCTAGGACCTAGCGTAAGCCCTGCCCACCACACCCCTACAGGGTGCTTCAGCCCTTCTCTGGTTCCTGCTTCGCTTCCACTGGTAACAGCCTGCATGGCCTTCATAGTCAGCCGGATAGCACATCCTTCCTCTCCCGCCTCGCACCCCTATAGTTTGCTTAAAGAACCAGCTGTCCACCGTTCCCTGCTCTGCTCCTCCATCCCCCCCACCCCGACCCCCACAACCCCCCCTCCCTCTCCCCCTCCCCCCATTCACTTTGCGGCTTGCATGGCCTTCATTGTCAGCCTCACAGCTTACCCTGTCTCCCCCACTAGCTGCCACTGCTCCACACCCCTACAGTCTGCTTCGAGGCCCTGCTGTCCCACCTCTCCCAGCTGTGCGTCCCCGTTAGCAGCCTGCATAGCCTTCATAGTCGCCTCACGGCAAGGCATGCCCCTACGGCCTGCTTCGAGGCCCTGCTGTCCCACCATTCCCTGCCCTGCTCCCCCCTTCCCCCTTCCCTTTTGCAGCCTACATAGCCTTCATAATCGCTTCACGGCATGCCCTGTATCTTCAGCCCATTCCCTCTGCAGCACTCCCCTACAGTCTGCTTTGAAGCCCTGCTGTCCCACCATTCCCACCCTGCACTTACCCCCCATCTCCCTTTGCAGCCTGCATGGCCTTCATGGTAATGCCTCACAGCATACCGTGTCTCTCCTGCCCAATCCCATCTGCACCGCACCCCTACAGCCTGATTCGAATATTCTCCGTCCCTTCTCTGCTTCCTCCCTTTGCCGCCTGCACGGTCTTCACGGCCAGCCTCAAAGCATACCCCGTCTCTCCCCCCCATCAGCCTCCGCTACAAACCCCTTCAGTTTGCTTCGAGACCCACCTGTCCTGTCCCCCCGTTCCCTTCTCTGCTCCAGCCTTTCCCCTCCCCCTTTGCCGGCTGCATGGCCCTATAGTGACCCTCACAGCATACCCTGTTTCTCCCGCCACCTGCTGGCACAAATCCCTACAATTTGTTTCGAGACCCAGAGGTCCCCCCGTTCCCTGCTCTGCTTCCCCTCTTTGCCGCCTGCATGGCCTTCATGGTGAACCTCACAGCGTACCCCGTCTCTCCTGCCCATTCCCTTCTGCACCACACCCCTACAGCCTGCTTCGGCTTTTCTCCGTCCCTGCTTTGCTTCCCCCCTTCGCAGCCTTCATAGCCTTCATAGCCTTCATGGTGACCCTCACAGCATACCCTGTCTCTCCCGCCATCTGCCTCCGAGCCACCTGCCTCAGCTCCTCCCCCACCACCGCCTCCATGTCAGGCTGACGTGGAGCTGAGTCACCCAGTGGCTGGCGCAGCATGCGCTTGAAAAGAGGGAGGGACTTTTGGAAAAGAGCTTCCTGTTGAATGTCGGAGAGAATCGCGAGCACTTCTGCAGGAGGTCAGTGAGGGTGAATGAAAAGGGATGGGACACACAGATGACAGAAGCATAGTTAAATGCATGCCAGCTACGCTCCATGTCCAATTCTAGCATGCATGGATTTCTAGGTTATTCTGTCCAACTCTTCTTGAAATCTACCTAGAAATCCATGGGATTGTATGGTAGCACACCCTGTTACCACGGCCAAGGGATGATGGTAAATGTTGGATGCGACATCTAACATAAAATTTTCAAGCAACGACACCCAACATCTACCATCATCCTTACAATCCCCGACTTGGCAGCCTCAGAGTCTTACCACTCTGAAGGATCTCATCCGGGAAAACCCGCGAGACAAGCCCGTTTCTGCACGCCTCATCAGCACTCAACACCCGTGACGTCAGCAGAAGGTCGTTGGCCAGCGCTCGGCCCAGCAGCTGCGGGAGAGTCACGGAGGACCCGAATTCCGGTACGAGAGCAATCCGGAGAAAAGGGACCCAGAAGGTGGCGGAATCCGCGGCGAAGACGAGGTCGCAGTGGGGAAGGAGCGTCACGCCGATGCCGATCGCCGGGCCGTTGACCGCCGCGACCAGGATCTTGGAGAATCGGAGGACTCCCCGCATGAACTGGCCGACCGGACTGGCGAATGGGTCGAAATCGTGGGGAAGATCGACGGACGAACTGGCCTGTCCTGTTGATCGGACGGCTGGATTTGAGCCGAGTGCTGACTGGCCTGATGATCCGACGGCTCCTGTTGATCCCTGCGATCGTTTCAGGGCCTCCAGTCTCTCGACGGTCTGCATGAACTCGAGCATGTCGGTGCCGCTGCAGAAGTACTCGCCGGATCCCGTTATAAGCACAATCGATACAGTGTCATTGGTGTCTGCCTCGGTTAGAGCGCGTGCGAGCTCGAGGTACGTGGCGTTGTTGATGGCGTTGAGGTTTCGACGACGATTGATGATTACGGTTACCACGGCTCCTAATTGCGTTACCAGCAGGTTCTTGTATTGGGAACCGTCCATCCTGTAGCGGGGATGTAAACGCAGTGCACCTTCTTTCTACCTTGTCCGTGTTTGAAGCTTCCGCACTGCAGCTGCTACGTTTCAAGCTTTGAGTGAGCAGGACCCTGAATATTGCCGATGCAGAAATAACTCTTTCTCAGAACGAGATGGCTGGAGGACTAAGAGACAATGCGACTACGGAACCCGTAGTCAAATGACTGCTGTCACAGCAGTAAGGCAATGCAATGAGATCAGTAAGCTGTCGCTGTACTGCAGATACTAATCTTATGGAAAGGAACCACGGCAAACCTGCCCGGAGTGGTAGTTGGTATTCCAAAGCTTGAAATTGCATGACCTTGCTCTCTGCTAAAAACTGCTAGGAGCAGAATCTACTCTCTGCACTGCAGCGCATGGATCCGAGTCTGTGGCTTCAGAGGGTTCAGTGGTCAAAAAAGACTTCCTGTACCTGATGATCCCTTCATAAAAAAAGACTTCCTGTACTTCAGTGAGTCCTAGGGATCATCTTGGTGATGGGAGGGAAGGAAGGGATTGCTGCTGTTTGGGCCATTCCACATTCGACTGGAGGTTGCCTGTCTACGTGGTAAGTGTCCTGGTGGCTCGCCAGCGTGTGTAGAGCCCAGGATGACGTGGAAGTGAGGTAAGCGGCCCTGGCTAACAAAAGAGCTAATACCGTAATCCCCCGGATATAGGCGCATAGGGGCTTATAGGAGATACCTAACAAAAGTGGCATGCGCTTGTAATCGAATAAATTTTATAAGCCCAGCACTTATGAAAGGAATTTTATGGAAAAAATATTTGAGCACGTGAAAATGTAGTTCTCAATTTTTGCGTTCTAGCACGTGTCTTTCCAAAGCGCAGCATGTTGAAAAAATGCGAGAAGGTGGCTGACAAAGCTTCCACCACCAGATCCACCCCGGAATGACTTAAATCGCGAGCCAATCAGAGCCAACACAGTGAGCGAGACTCGCGCTTCTGGTTGGGGAGGCGCTCGGGAGGGGCACGGCAGAGACTCCAATATATAAATCCCCCGCTTAACAGAAGTTTATACCAAAAAAAGTTATGCACCTATAAGAAATACATTTTCAAAAATGTGGGTGCGCTTATAATGAAATAACGAATATAAGCACACCTCCATAAACGCAATGGGCCAAATAAAGGGATGCGACTATATCCGGGGGATTACGGTATCAAGTGTGGGTTTTGTGGAAAATAATGTTTCAGTAAGACTGTTGGAAATATCTCAAAGAACTTAAGCGTTTCTGAAGTGTAACACTACACTCGAGGAAGACTACAAGGGAGCACGCGAGTCAACGGAGGTTACACGAGGGGGCGGACAAAGAATGCGAAAGGTCGCAACTGGAGGTTGCGACTGACCGTTACAGCATCATGGATGGTAACCGAAGCGGCAATCGAGTCGCTGTGCGACTCTATAAACCGTTCCTGTAACTGTACTCTACAACTGCTTTCTTATCTTCTATATATTGCTGTATGCTTGTTTCCTTAATCAATCACTTGTTCTCACATACTAGTACAAGGGTTCAAACTGCCTCAACTTCCGCTGCACTACCCCAAGTCTCAAGTCTCTACAGCTGGGACTTAGTCTCTGCAAAAGATCCTAAGGGCTTTTCTAAGCCCAACATGGTATGAGAGCTGGTCAGAGACCAAACTCCCAGCAACTACGTTCTATCACCAACCTGCAACTCAACCCAATTCAACGACTTCATTGATTGCAAGACATGGACAGCAAGGGCAAGAAAGTCTCTACGGGCTCACCCAGCGGCCAAGAAACTCAACACGGCAACTCTGGTCTGCACACCTCAGGACTGCAGACAGAGACCGGGACTACTCAAGAAACAACGGGAAGAGTACCAGAGATGGTTACTCCATCTCCCTCTTCAAGCGTGGACCCCAACCTTATGGAAAGGTTCTTCAGCTTCATGTCGCACTTCGACCAGCAGCAGCAGACAAGGACACCTGCGCATTCAACACAGAGCAATGGAGGAAACATGGGATTAGCGCCGATGAGCCTCGACAACTCATCCTTCGGGCGACACAACCAAGCGCCTACCTTTGCGCCTTATCATTCTTCACCGGGGACGTTCGAGTTCATGCCGCCCCGCGCCCAACCAACAGCAGCTGCATCACAACAAACACCAAACGAGATTCTCAGTCTTCAGGCTCAATTCTCACACGTTATTAAGTTACAAACATCCTCACCGTTCAACGGACACGACTTCTTTACCTGGAGCTTCGAGTTCGAGCTGCTGATGGAGGCCGCGCATCTTCTGGGATACTTCAACGGGTCCCTGCCATTTCCAAGCAACGGCACTGGAAAGGAGCAAGAGATCTTCACGTATCAGTCGCTGCTGGCGTATACAGTCCTCCTGCGGAACCTGTCACCACAAGAACAGCAGAGCATCAGAACATATCGGAGTTATGGGAACTCCGCGGAACTCGCATGGCATCATCTCAAGTGCCTTTATCAAGCAAACGACAGCGTGACGCAAAGCAGACTCATGCAACAACTGACAACAATACAGATGAAGACCGGGGAAAAGGCAATGCAATATATGAGTCGATGCCAGACTCTCCGCGACCGCCTGCTTCGGTGCGGAGGAACAATCACTGAAGAAAGCTTCGTGACACTTGTCCTCGCCGGGCTCGGGCCAGAATGGAGAACCACACGATCACTTCTTCGCGCCCACGGAAGAATTTCGGAAATGCACCTCTGCGCCGAGCTTCACGCTGAACAACAGGAGATGGACCTGTTCGAAGAAAGGCAACCAAGGAAGCAGCAGCAGTTAGTCTTCTACACTCAACGAAGAAACGACAACACCTACAATCGACGCAGCAAGCAAGAGCGCGACAACAGAGGGACTATCTTTGTGCCGCCGTTCTGCCACAACTGTCAGACTTCCGGGCACTCCAAGGTCAACTGCAACCGCCCTCGCGTTTACCGTCCAGCAGACCCACAAGTTGCTTCAACCCAAGCAAGTCCCCCAAGGCGCTCTTCAACATCTGCACAACAGACACCAAACATTATCAACTGCATGGTACACATCGACAACTGTGCACCCGGCTCACCACCCACTTACGCGACAGACGAAGAAGAGCTACCGCCACCGCGCTCACAAAGCCTTCAAGTCAATCCGACATATGCTGCAGTCGCCAACGCCGAACCCACCGGGCGGAACACCTGGTTCTTGGACAGCTGCTGCGGTCAACACATGTGCTCCTCGGGACGCTTCGTGCAACAGGAGAAACGCCTCAACCGCGACGTCGTCATCACCGTCGCCAACAACGAAAACCTGAAGACAAACAGACAAGGCGTGGTTCAGTTACAATCAATGGAAACAAACGTAATACTGCAGCTCAACAAAGTGCTCATTGTCGACAACCTGGGATACAATCTACTAAGCGTAAGCCAACTAATGGCCAAAGGGATTCACCTGGAGTGCGACTCTTACTCCAACGAGTTCCGACTTTACCACGGGAAGGGCGGCCTCTTCATCGGTCGTGCCCTCCTGAAGTCCGGCGTCTTCGTGTTGGACTTCGTCCCCGACCGCGGCACTGCCGACAGCGACGGTATCGTATCATTCGCCGCCTGGACTCACCCGCCGGATCTTGATCCCGACTTCGACAGTGACGGCTTCTGGCACTCCAACACCATACCTGCAGCAGAGAGAACACGAGCATTAGCAGTTATCAGACAAGAAAGACAAGTACCCGCACGTGTCCCAACAAAACCATCACCTGCAGTATCGGCAGCAGGACCCAGCCGAGTACCACCACCAGCGACACGAGGACCGCCAACCGAAGCAGACCAACTTATGCCCGCCACACGAGAAGCTTGTCGAAGTCCCGCCTCGGTCGTCGCGTTCTTCTCCAACGCCGACATCTACCACCGCTCGCCCGGTCACCGCGCTCCCGACGACATCTGGCACCAACGTCTCGGACATCCTGCAAACAGCACGATACTTCAAACAATCCAAGCAGATGTGTTAGAACGCAACGCCCTTCTGACGACGAGCGGCCAAGAACTTCGACGACCACGCGCACGGTGCTTCACATGCCCCGAAGCAGATCTTTCTCATCAACCTTTCCCATCCCATCACAACCCAAGCGCACATACTTACGCTCCGATGGAAAAGGTCTACAGCGATATTTTAAACATGCCTCGAGACGACACCGAAGCCGACTTCAACTACGTCATCACGTTCATCGACGCCGCAACCAGATATGTATGGCACTTCAATCTCAAGACGCGCGATCAAGCCTTCGAAGCCTTCACAACATGGCTTCCCATCGCCGAACGAGAATCAGGACTCAAACGCAAGAGCTTCCAGTCAGACGGTGCACTGGAATACCAGTCGCAACGCTTCAAGACCTATCTGGCGGAAAGAGGAATCAGACGCCTGGTGTCCCTGCCCTATGCTCACCAACAGCAGGGGGTCGCAGAACGCATGAATCGGACCTTGCAGACGACAATGCGAAAACTGCTTCAGGGGATGAGACTGCCAACCACACTGTGGCCAGACGCGATGACACATGCAGTCCACCTGCACAACCTGTTGTCCTCGTCATCGCTCCCCAACAACGCATCACCACACCTGCTGTGGACGGGAAAAAGGGGCAGCACAAAATTACTTCGAGTTTTCGGCTGCATGGTACAATACAGACCCCACACAGCTCGAGCAGGACGCTTCACTCAACGAGCTCGGTGGGGACTACACCTCGGCATCGCCAAACATTTTCACGCGTGGAAGATTCTCGACATACAAGACAAAAATACGGTGGCATCACGTGATGTTATCTTCTACGAGCGACTGACGTTGCAGCATTACCTGGACAACATTGCCAACTCAGACGACCCCACCGACGGCTTCGCGGGCCTTCGCTCCTTCGCTGACCATGCTGCCGAGGCTGACGCAGCAGAAGAAGACGTCCCTGGAGCCTCGGAGGCTGCCGGACCACTCCCCTACTGCTCCGTACCTGTTCCGCTCGATGAAGATAATCCCCTCGATAGCAACAACCTCGACACCTTTTACCACTTCGCTGACCAAGGCTACGCTACACCACACCCCGTCGACTCGAATATTTCCGAACGCATCGGGCCAAACTTCTTACCCGATCCTGAAGACGGTGATGAAGCAGCTTATCCCGGGAATGAAAATTCCCCTCGACACACAGCCACGGGACTGCAGATCCTAGGACTATGGGTCTCCGTCCAGCACCCGCCGCCGCCTTCTCCGCGCGAGCCATCGACCCTGTCGCAGGCTCTGGGGGGGGAACATAAGGCGGAATGGAAGGAAGCAATGGAAAAAGAGTTAAAAGCCCTCCAAGACCGGAATACATGGAAGTTAGTACCGACAACCAACACCAACGGGAGGAACATTCTCTCGGGGAAATGGGTGTACCGCATTAAGACCAACGCGGACGGCTCCATCGAACGTTTTAAAGCGCGATGGGTCGTACGAGGCTTCGACCAACGATACGGAAGTGACTACACAGAAACCTTCGCCCCAGTCTCCCGTCACACCTCCCTGCGCATCCTACTCGCCGTCGCGGCCACGAAGAAACTACCACTACGGCAAATCGACGTCGCAAACGCCTTCTTGTACGCACCTGTGGACGCCGAAATCTTCGTCGAACAACCCCACGGATTCATCGACGACCCTTCAAAAGTATGCCAGCTGGAAAAATCCCTTTACGGGATCAAGCAAGCCCCACGGCTCTGGCAGCAGCACCTTCACGGCCGGCTCGTAAAAATCGGATTCCTACAGTTACCACATGACCAAGGCATGTACCGACTGCAGAAGGGAAGAAATTACATTCTGCTCATAGTCTACGTCGACGACCTGCTCTACATCGGTTCTACCACCGACATCGTCACCTGGTTCGAAGGGGAGCTGAAAGGGGACCTGACGCTCACGGTGTCCGACTCAGTGACCCAGTACTTGGGACTAAATGTCATCGAAGACAACTCGGCGTTCTACCTACACGCTGGAAAGTACGCAGGCACTGTCGCGAAGAAATTCGGACTGACGCCGACTACGGTCCCGACTCCCTACCGCTACGGAAACAACAACAGCGCCTCCGCAAAACTCCCCGCGAAGCAAATCCAGGAGTATCAACAGAAGCTCGGTTGCCTACTATTCGCAGCAGTCACCTGCCGACCCGACCTGTCCTATAGTGCGAGTCAACTAGCGACGCATCTGAAGCAACCGGAACAGGAAGATCTCGAGGAACTCAACCGGGCACTACTCTACTTCGTCTCCACGCCGACGATCGGACTTATCTACAGCAAAGCGACAACACCGTCCGTACAACTGCTCGGATACGTCGACGCCGACCACGCGGGAGACAGGGAAAATCGACGATCTAGGACGGGCTACATCTACCGACTAGAACCCATCGGAACTATCTCCTGGCAGTCGAGCAAGCAGGAGTTAATCGCACTATCCTCGGCTGAAGCAGAGTACATCGCCCTTTGTACTGCGACCAAGGAAGGACTCTACCTGCGAGAGTTACTCGAGGAAGCGAAGATCACGACCCTGCCCGCCTTCTCACTCTTCTGCGACAACCAATCTGCGATCAAAATCGCAAACAAGGACGGCTTTGCCAACCGAACCAAACACATCGCCCTGCGGTACTTCTTCGTCAAAGATGAAATCGCGAAGGGGAGACTTCAACTCAGTTACTGCCCGACGACAGAAATGGCCGCAGACTATTTGACGAAGAAATTAACGAAGACAAAATTCGACCACTGCATGCTGCTGACCGGACAGACAAACGTCACCAGATCCGAACATAACAGCACTCCAGAAACGAAGGGGAGTGTTGGAAATATCTCAAAGAACTTAAGCGTTTCTGAAGTGTAACACTACACTCGAGGAAGACTACAAGGGAGCACGCGAGTCAACGGAGGTTACACGAGGGGGCGGACAAA